GCGTAGTTATTCCCAGCTCCCGGGGGCGCTCCTGCAGGTGCTCCTGCGTTACCATTACGAGTGTCTGCCATCTGAAGAATCCAGCAGAAACTTAAGTGAGAAACAAGTGCCATATATACTCAGAAAACAAGAAAGTTAACTACCAGAGATATGAACAGACCTAAAGGCTAAAGCTTTCACTAATCAGGGATAAAACAGCGTAATACAGACTGAAACGGGACAAGGAATCGACCAAAACTTAATCACAGGAAAAGTTCAACGATCTTCAAATCGGCATAACATCATATATGATAAACAAATTTCCGAAAAACGTTAAATTGAGGAGTAATGTCGCAAAATTAGATATAAACTTCTTTTTCAGAGATTAAATCTAGGGTTTCATAGATTGAAACTAAGTTTAATCTTAAATTTAGAGTGAAATCCACCAATTTGACGAACCCAGAAGAGAAAAAAATAAGATTTAGGGGAGAAAATAAACACACCTCGAAAGTCGAATCGAATCAGAGGAATCTCAAACAAAATCAGGGACGCAACAAGAAGCACGCCGAAACCCTAGAAATCGAAGAACGAGGAACAAAGCGATTAAATTACTGGGAAATGCTGCGAAATCAAAACGGGATCGAGTGAGAAACATGATTTTATACTAAGATTCGAGCCAAATAACACGAAAAAGAGATCAAAATAAGTTGAATCCGAGGTTAAAAACAGTGAGAAATCGAAAAGGGGATGAACGGGAAAATCAAGGAGATGCTTACCCAGAGAGTTTAACGACGGAAGATAAGAACGTGGTAAGCTCCACACGACGGCGGTTAAGCCGCGAAACAAAGAAAAAAAAGTTCCGGCGAGGCTCTCGTGAGAGAGAATGACTCTAAGCTAATGGAGAGAAACGAGAGGGACCAAAGAATGGCTATTCTGCGAGGCAATTCAGAATGGGGAAAATACTTTAATTTTATATTCAAGGCCCCGCCTGTTTTTTTTTCTCTTTCCCGTAAACACCGACTTAAGGCCCGTTTTGGCCTTTAACATATTGGGCCTTTAGAACAACTTATAAACGCCCATTAACATACCCGGTCAATTTAGTAAAATAAGTTCTAGAAGTCAAAATGTGTTGGGTTGGTAGGGTTGATATTCTCTTAAATTACATGGATCAAAGTCACAAAATTGTAGCTTCCCTAGAGAAGACTTTTGTAGTCTCTTTCTCAGTCACTCTTTAGTGTTTGTCTTCTATTGGCTTTAGCCAAAGTCAAATCAAATGCATTCCATTAAACAAACGATGAGTCAAAGTCACATTATATACTTGTTCAAAGTTCAAACGATAAAATCCATATGCCATCGAAATAATCTAAGTTTTATTTTCCCTTAAAAAGAACAGTTCCTTCTTCTTATTCATCATATATTTCCAATGGATCCAAGACTGATCGCATCCACTCAAATCAGAAGCATCGAAAAATTGTATGAGGTTATACATGAGAATCCATACATTCTTGAAATCATTGATGCGGTACCTTTCATCAACACTCCTCTACATGTAGCTTCTGCTTCTGGAAACCTTCCTTTTGCCATGGAGTTGATGAATCTTAAGCCATCTTTTGCTAGAAAACTTAACACACACGGGTTAAGTCCATTGCATCTTGCTATAGAGGAAGGTCATACACGTTTAGTTCTAAGTTTACTCAAGGTTGATCCTGATCTTGTTCGTCTCAAAGGAAGAGAAGGTAATAAAATTCTCTTAATTATTTATTGGCATCAAATCATTAAAAACTTTCCTAACCATTTTACTTTGATCAAAATTTATTTACAAAAACTAAAAGGTTGAAATAGCTTTGTTTATGAATTAAAGGTACGACGCCGTTTCATCAAGTAGTGAGAAGAGGAGAGACTGATCTTATGACAGAGTTTCTCTTAGCTTGTCCCGGTTGCATTAAAGATGCAAACGTGAAGGGTGAAACCGCTCTACACATGGCGGTTTCAAACGATAGATGTGAAGAGCTCGAAGTACTCTTGGGATGGGTCCAAAGACTTCGTCAGGTGGATGCAGAATCGCTAGAGATGCAGTTTTTAAACAAACGTGACCAAGAAGGTAACACAGCCTTGCACATAGCAGCTTATCAGAACAGATTCAAAGCAGTGAAGCTACTAGTAAAATGTTATGCGGTTAACCGGAACATCCATAACCGGACCGGTTTAACCGCTCTAGACATCTTAGATAGCCAGAGAGAGCATCACACAAACAGAAAGATCGAAAACATTCTTCGAAAATCGGGAGGTAAAAGCGGAAAATCTCTTCCAAAAACCAAGAAAGTGTCGGAAATATTGAGATATCCGATTAGTTTCACTGAGCATTTGTTCACGCAGACAGCGAGGTATAGGAACCAGACACCAGAAGGATCAAGAAGCGCGCTTCTAGTGATAGCCGCACTGATAATCACAGCTACTTATCAAACAGCTTTGCAGCCACCAGGAGGTGTATACCAAGCAAATGCATCAGATCATGAAGGTCATACTAATAGTAGTAGTAAGAAGAGTGTTGTTGGTACTGTGGTGATGGACCAGAGATATTTCTATGTGCTTCGGAGTGTGAATAGTATGGCTTTCGTTGGAGCCATTTTCATGGCGTTTTGTTTGTTACCAGCTGGTGAAGGCTACGTATGGTCGTTTCTATGGATAGCAGTGCCATTGTATGTTTCTTACTTGGTCTCGATGTCGGTTATATCTACAGATACAATGTGGTTCTTCTCGGTTAGTGCCGGTTCGGTTATAATCGTTGTTCTTGCGTACATGGTTGTGTTTTTCTTGCGGTGGAAACGGTCCAAGAAGAAGATACCTGGAACAAGAAGCGAGTTGATTCTTGAAGGTTTTACAAGTTTGGATATGGCCAAAGGAGTGGAGTGTATGTGAAGCTAGATGTGTTGTTGTTGTAAAAGACACAAACTAAATATATGTTTAATTCAAGAGTACCCTTAATTAAAAGATCACTCCATGAGATTATTATTGTCCACATACACCTTCACAAATCACCTTTGCCCCTTTTAGAAGACTAATCCAATTTTAACCCTTAAATGAAATAGATATAGTTTTGATTAAAATCTTAATTAATTGACTCCCTCAACATTTTTTTTTTTCTCAACTCAACTTTTGTTCAGTTGGTCATCTTCCTCTCTTGCCCGATTTCTTCTTCTCCGGCGGCGAGAAAGAGCACTCCTTCGCCGTCCTTTTTCTCTTCTCCGTTCTCGTCCGCGAGCGCTCGCCGTGCTTGCATCTGCTCTCCGCTCTCCTCGTCATCATTCGCCGTCTCTTAAGTCGTCCTCTGTTCTCATCGTCTTTCTTATCCGCAAATCACTTGCTCTAGTTACTCACAAGGTTAGTATGCTGGTTCCTTGATTAATCGACATAATTTTTTAATTGAAGATTGGGGAAAATGATTTGGGGTTTCTTAGATTTGATCATGATTGCAATAGTGGCGGGTTGCACAATTTTTCTTTTTAAATTGTGGTTAAAAGTGTTGGAATTAGCTTTTGCATATTGGAGGTGTTTGGCTCAAGGGATGGATACAAGCAATGTCAAATCTGGGATTGTTTGATCTAATTCATCTATAATCTCCGTATAAATTTGGGATTCTGCACACTCTTCTGTTACAAATATCTTTAGCTGAATTTGTTCTGTATTTTTGGTTAGAGGGCTTTAGCTGAATTTAACATTCTGTATTTTTGGTTAGAGGGCTTTCTGCAAAGAATGAATTAGCAAACACATAATGACTCCAACAAAAAAACTGAAGCTTATTCCGGTGAATGGAAAGTCGCCAGAGAAGACGAAGAAGCTGCATGCTTCAGGTGAGATGTCAAACTTTGAACCTTTTCCACTGAAGGGAAGAGGCGCTATTACGAACACATTGATCGATGATTCTTGAGGATTGTCTCTTTGGGGATGTTATGTGATCCATGGAGTCTTGGTACTTAATCTTTGTGTTTTCTTCAGGTAATCTTTCTCCGTTCAAGAGAGATATCGATGAGCTCATAGACGAGTTTGTGGAGGTACTTTTGTTTTCTTTCTCCATCTTTGTTAGCTCTTTCAAACTTTTTTCAGGCTTTCAGATTTGCTGAGTCTCTGGGTTTACTTTCAGGGTGATTTGACAACGTTTGATGAGATGAAGAGTGTGTGGCTATCTCGAAAGTTTTCTTACATATTTGAAGCCATTCCTGACACCAAGTTAGCCTTTTTCATGCAGTCACTGTATGCTCATACCATCGGTACGCTTGAGTTCTAATTCATGGATTTTTGGAACACTCAGAATGAGTTATCTGTTGCTGTCTGTTTTCACATTATGCTTGTTTTCTTAGCTAAACTCACAAACCAACTTTATGTTTACAGGTCACATGGTTAGTATTGATTCTTTTTCACGGAGACTTGGAGGTCTTTACTGTCTCTATTGCCTTCATGAGATCCAACCTTTTAAACCCAAGTTCCGGATTTATATCTCACTTCGTAAGTGTTTTCACCATTTGTTGTAAGCTGCTGTGATGTGATTTATCAGTTTGGCTTTTGCTGATTACAACATCATTTGTAGTTTTATATTCTAACTGAAAACTTGTACGGTTCTCATGTTGCAGAAGAGCTTGGAAAATTTAGGGATCTTGTAGTTGAGGCAAAAGATAAAGGTGTAGAGATAGCTACTGTTGTGGCGAAACAAATGCTTGACAAAAACGTGTTTATATTTGGAGCTGTGGACGTTAACGAAGTGTCTGCAACCGAGAAACGCTATCATTTAACAGAGATTCAGAACGCATGTATACGCTTAGCCTATGGAAAGTATGTCATCTTGTCCCTTAAAATTCATTTCTGGTCTTAGTTTTTGAATAACATTTTTTAGTGATATGATTCTCATCTTCACTTTGAACAGATTAACCTCTGACACCGAGATTGAGAAATTCATTCATTTGGATATGGTGAGTACCACACACATATTTGCAGATATCTTCAACAGTGTTGATTTTGTTATTTACTAAAGTTTTCTCCATTGTACTTATCTTTGATGTTTTGTGCTTATCAGGGTAATGAAGTTGATCTGAGTTCTCTACATAAAAGGTCTATAGAGTACGCAGAGGCCAAGAAGCGTGCTATCAAAAGTATGCTACTCCATATCAACTGTTTGTCTGCAATTTTTTTAATTTCTCCATACCACTGAAAGGGGAAAATTGTTAAGTTGATTTGATTTGGAGCTCTGTTGTGATGCATGTGTGTTTTGGTTATCTTAAAGGTGCAGGAGAAATAGTGGAGGTTGAGGACATAAAGCACATATCCGAAGAGAAAGAGTTGATGGGGGAGAGAGTGGAGAAACTGAAAGAGGAATGGGATTCACAAAGATGTTCATTCTATGAACAAACCAAGCTTGATTCTTTTACGGCAACGACAGAGGAACTTCTGAAGGATGTTGAACATGATGAGGATGATGGGTTTGATGAGCTTGATCACCTACTTTTCCATAGCTGATAAAAGTTTTTTTGAATGAAAAGCTCTTTGTAGATATGCCATTGACATCGTATCTAATGATTTGTCTTCTCAATAAAGTTTTGATCAAGCAATATCATAGATTCAGGTTGCGTTAGAAAGCTGTAGATAACAAATAATTTTCCCAAACTGCTTATAATATGGGACAAAGGGAGTATGAGGTTTAAATGATAAATAATTTCATATTAGAGAAAACAACACTAACAAACAATTTCAGTTTCTGCTAATAAATAATTTCAATTTCAGTTGTTTTCGCTGAAATCTTATCTCTTTGTGTTTAATTTCCAGATACATTTCCCCAAACTGCTTATAACATGGGACAGAGGGAGTATGAGGTTTAAATGATAAAGGTACGACGGAGTGTGAATAGTATGGCTTTCGTTGGAGCCATTTTCATGGCGTATTGTTTGTTACCAGCTGGTGAAGGCTACGTAGGGTGGTTTCTACGGATAGCAGTGCCATTGTATGTTTCTTACTTGGTCTCGATCTAGAGATACAATGTGGTTCTTCTCGATTAGTGCTGGTTCGGTTATAATCGTTGTTCTTGCGGTGGAAACGGTCCAAGAACAAGACACCTGGAACAAGAAGCGAGTTGATTCTTGAAGGTTTTACACCTTTGGATATAGCCAAAGGAGTGGTTTGTATGTGAAGCGAGATGTGTTATATCTCTATAAAATATGAATCAAACTTTGTTATAAAAGAAACAAAGTAAATATAAGTTGATAAATCACTCCATGAGATTATTAATAAAGAATTTGGTGGGTACAATACAACAAATACATCAAATCAGGTTTCATTTACAATCCACAAAAATAAAAGATGAGAGAGCCTATATTAGTTACTAATAATACTAATACAACAACAACAATCAAAGAAACTTTCTTACTCAAAACGTAAGACTATATAACTTATATATTAAGAAAATACAATGACAAGGAGCTTTCTTCTCCATTTCTTCTGTATATGTTTCTCCTGTGCCAAACATATGTCCCGAACTCCCGATGATGTCTGCTTCTGCACACACAGAACAACTCAATCTGTCCTTCTGCTTCCAATGGACAGAGACGTTCTCGGTTTTGTCTTTTTTTTTTTAGTGTACAAAATATACTTATCCTCTTCTCCTCAAGCTTCTGTGTAGCATAGTGTTCCGGTCTCTGATTACAATTGCTCGCGTCCGGTAAATAATTTCAGTTTCTGCTGTAGCTGTAGATAATAAACACAGAGATGCTTGATGATTATGATGGTTCAGAGATCAGATTTGTTCTTGGGAGATCAAGAGTTTTTTGAACTTACTTGATTGTGTTTTGATTTTTCTTCTTCAAGTTCTTCTGTCACCTCCATCATCCTACATAAATTGAATATTTGAGAAGTAATTAGAAAGACTATACCACAATCGATTCTCTAACAAGAAGGTTTTTGGTTGATCAAAGAAGAGGAACAACAACCTTGCTCGAAGCTCAGAGATCTTGGTAAGTAGTAACCTTTCTCTCTCAGAAGCTGTTGGTTCAACAACCTGTGACAAAATCAAAGAATGTGAAGGACATTGATTTTGAGACTGCTTATAGAGGTTAATGTGAAACTACTTACGGTTCCATTACTGTCAGGTCCTCGAGGCAAAGGTGGCAACTTTCCATTTTGAGAACCTACATAACAAGGGATGAGAGTTAAGTAGTTAACTATCTCTTGCATGCTCGATATAACAAACAAATTGGAATTGAAATGTCTATCTTACCATCTGTTGTTACTTCAGTAACTTGTAAGCTATTCAGTAGATTCATAATAAGATCCTGAAGTTACAAAGTTCCGTTAAGTACTCTACAATCAAAACATAAATGTCTCAATACAACTTTTTTTTCTTTTACCTGTTGTATTGAATTTTGCAGGAACAGATTTTGAAGCTGAGGCATGATGAATGAGGGAGACACAGGATGACTATTTAACTCCTTGATGGGCTGACACGTCGGCTGTTGCTGGAAAAAATATAAGATTTGTTACGACTAGAAAACAGAAAACTCTACGGACTAAAGGAAGCCTTTGTGGTAGCAAACTGACCATTTTGGATTCGAGTATCCAATTCCCAACACTAGCAGATTTTCTCAGCGGGGATGCCTGTAGATTATAGAGTGTAGAATTATCATCATTCTACACTGATATCATCGAAAGAGGAAAACGAAGAGTAGGAGAAGATTTTTATCATATACAGACCCTTGCAAGATCTAAGTTTTCTGATGTTACTGAAAATCTTCCTTTGATTTGAACCACATTAGCCTTTGACTTGTCATCGAGAGAATCACGGAATCCTATTTAAGATTGAGAACGACTCTTAAGTTAACTGAACTAGATGGATGCAACAACAATAATGAGCTGCAGTAGACGCAAATGTACTTCCTTACCTCCAGAAGATTTAATAGGAGCTGAAAAACTGTTTGCTGAAGCACGGTTTGGAAGATTCAATGGACCACTAAAGCTAGGTGCCTTCCGGACTGATGTGGGCTGGCGTTCACTCTCAGGCCTAGCAAATAGTAAATTTGAAGTTAGAGCATTTGAAAGAAAGGAGAATCAGAGATCTCAAACGAAAATAAGCAAATAGGGAGAATCAGATCTCAAACGACAATAAGCAAATAGCAAACCTTGCATAACCATGGACCTTCCCTGAATCCGTATTGGTTGACAAAATAGCGGGTGAAAGTGGTCCACTCTGAGTCTGGCGTCTCACTGGCTTAGCCTTGGCCTGTGGAACGTCGTGCTCTGAACTTGGTGCCGTTTGTTCTGTAGAAGAAGCGGGTTTCTCTTCACAGATCGGCTCTACCACTTCCGTATCTGAAACTTTTTCTTTTCCATTCATGTTTTCAGAGAGCAGTTGACTAAATACTTGCTCTCTGTCATTCACCTGCAATGCGTTTCTAACTTAAGAACCACCATGACACTTTGATACCAAGGGAGTGAAGAAGTATAAGTTTGTTTTTGAATTACTAACCTTATTATGCAACTGTTCGCCAAAAGGTTCATCTTCTTCCTTACTCTCTGTTAAGCTGTCATAATCATCTAGCTATTATTGCACCCAAAAAAAGAAGAATGTAAGAACATGATTATTTGATGGAAACCAATGGTTTCTCAAATGGCATCATCCAAGTGATAATATCAAAGCATAGCCTACCAAAGAAGCTTGTTCTTTCAAATCTTCAAGGTTGAAGTTCCAAGCGCTTACTCCTCTTTGATATTCACTCTGACACGATAAAATTAACCTTTTTTATAAGCATTCTGCAATTCACGTCTTCAATAATAATAAATTTCAAACTTGTGCGGTTGTCAATGTCACCTGTGATATAGCATCTTGGTCAGCAGAAGCCATTCCTTTCAACGCAAGCTGTGCAGCATCCTTGGCCTGTCATATACAACGAATCTATCATCTAGAGTAGAGCAGGACGAGCACAGCAAGCTCGAAAGAAGAGATAAGCATGGCAAACCTGAAGAGCTTTCACGCGAGTCCAAAGCGGTGGCAAATCGGCAAATAACTTTTTCACACAGATCTCTGGAGGCTTTGCGTTCTTGAAAAAGGAGTGTTTCAACAACTTCTTAGCGGTTGGTCTTTTCGTTTGATCTTTCACCAGACACAATGCTACCATTTCTTTAAAGGACTGGGGCACAGCTAAAAACATTTTCTTAATTAGAAAGATAACGTACATTCAAATAACACCCGAATCTACCTAGAAAGAACACAAGTACCTTTGAAAACTTCTTATCACGGTCATAATCAAGTCCAGGCGGTGCATTTTGAATAGTCATCAGTAGTACCTGTTACAGAGACACGAGGGATAAGACACTGTCCTCTTCTCAATACACAAAAGAAAAGTACTGAATACCTTCATGGGAGGATATTTTGAGAAAGGCGCATGACCATGAGCCAACTCCAGCGCCGTTATTCCAAACGACCAGATATCAGCTCTGTAAGGAAGATACATAAAAACCAAATTAATCAATAGCTGTTATCGCATTTCTTTGATGCAAACAGCTCTTGGCAGTATATACCAAAGGGAACTTGATTATTGATATTGAAGCGTAAACTCACTTTGAATTGTATCCACTTCCTGGCTGCAAGACCTCCGGTGCCATCCTACAAACAGAAACAAGAAAGTTACATATCAATCGTCGAGTAGAGAGAAACTAACTGTGAAGCTTTAAGAAGAACGAAACTGAAGAAAACTACAATAACCAACCAGCACGGAGTACCAACAAATGTGTTTCTTGCACGTTGCCTATCTCCAGTGTCAAACAAACACGCAGAGACGCCAAAATCACCGAGCTTAATCTCCCCAGTGTTATCAAGAAGTATGTTTCCAGCCTAATCACCAAAGAAAACAAAAATAAGCTTCTAAGTTCAGTGTGAAACAAACAAAAACAAATTTCAAGTTAAAAAGCTGACCTTAACATCACGATGGATATGCCCTTGTCTATGAAGGTAATCAAGAGCTTTTAGTGTTTCTTTCAGCATAGAACATATCGCCGACTCTTCGAATCCATCTGGATACGCTGCTTTCATGAGATGCAAGCACGAACCTTGAGCCATGAATGGCATGACCACCCATAGATTATGGTCAACAGCAAACGAACAAAACGACTTTATAACATTTGGATGATCTATCAAACTCATTGTCTGTGCCTCCCTTCTTATATCATCCTAGAAAGAAAAAAAACAAACAAAAACATTACTTTATGAAGTCGCAGCAAAACTGAAATCTCGAATATAGGAAACTAAGTTAAAGCAAACAAATATGGAAAATGAAAGCACGGATCTAAAAAACAATCACAATTGATCCAAAATCATAAAAGCAACTGATCCCAAATCGCAAACTGAGAAGATGATCAAGCATTTGAAATCATCTATAGACTAATAAGCTGATCTTAAAACTCTATGAATCCCTCAATTTTCAGGTTTAGTGATGCTATTTCATGATCTCGAATTTAGTATCTCGAAATCGAAATCCCCAATTCAAATCTACAGCTAAAACAATAACCCCAAAATCGAAACCTCCCACACAAACAAATTACAAATTTCGAATCGAATACGAAGTTGGAGCTAGATTAGAGCTAACAAGATTGGTATTGCAGCGATCGAGATCCAAACACTTGATAGCGACGACTTCTTTAGTAGGGAGATAAATTGCTCGATGAACAACAGCACTAGCACCATATCCAACTTCTTCCATAAGCTTGTAGTCTTTAGGGTTTACGGAGAAACCTTTCTTCTTACTACCACCACCACCACCACCACCGCGAGTCGCCATTTTCTTCCGCCGTCTCGCACCCAGAACAGCCCTAAAAAAACGACCAAATCCGACTCCGTCGTCAGACAACAATCACAGATAAAATCGAATCGGAGAACTGTAAACGAAAAAAAAAAAAAAAAATCTAAAGTAGAAAAGAGAGACTAGAAGAAGTACTCTAGAGCAAGACGAAGCCGAGACACCATTGCAATTGTAAAACTTTTTTTTTGTTTGGCGATTTTTTTGTTTCCTAAACTTTTTTTTTCCTTTTTTCGGTTCGTTTTTGGCTCGACTGTGTTATATTTCTCTGATCTAGTTGACCACAGGAAGTCGGAACCAAAACGCGATTTGGGAATTACTGACGTGGCAAGACTTTTAAGCATGTAAGATGATTACACGTGGCTATGGTGAGGAGATTGACGCATCCATAAGTTTATCTTTGGCTAGTTCACGAGTGACATTGACTAGTGGTTTTGGTGCTTTGGTTGACGTTGAATAACGGTGGATAGAGAGATCTTTGTTTTTGTCAACGTATTTTAGGATGAAATGAACAATTCATGGAATCATGGATTATCATTTGTTTTTTATAAAACTTTATAAAACTAAAATTGTTACTTCGTAGAAATTTACATAAGTCTCTTTATTAAATCTTAGATTTACATAAATCATTAGAGATTTATGTTATCACATTTTCAATTATATTTAATTAAAGTATAAAATATGGTGTAATTCATTTTTTTTTAGAAAATATTTGGAAAGAGAAAAACTCCTGTTGAATTGGTGATTCCAATTTTGTATTTTAGTAGAAAATTAAGATCCAAATTTTGAATTTACATTAATATATTTCAATTAAATCGATTTTGATAAATTTATTCAAACAGAATGATTGAGTGGGCCCTGGGCCTTCTTAAGAATTCAGCCCATCTTCGCTTATAACCCGATCCGGCTTAGCTCCCAAACCAGCTCTTCAATCTTAACTTGACATTAAACCTAACATTTAACACCTGAACCACCGGTTTACAGAACTGAATTTGAATTCGTTGCGAAATCAGGACATATGGTGTGGGGAGATTGCAATGGAGAAATGCCAAGGTGGAGAGATTTGGAGTTAAGTGGTGGAAGTGGTGTGGTGTGGTGTTGTCTTTGATGGGGAATATATCTTGATGAAATCTCTAGCTGTTGTCGTTTGATGCACTAACTCTCTTTCTCTATCGTAACAAAAAAAAAAACTCTCTTTCTCTCTCTCATGTGTTGTTCTTGTTTTATTTTTCAATCTCTTCTTTATCAATGGTTTATTGGCATCGGGTTAGGTAAGTGACACGTTTTCCCGTCTCTGGGAGCAAAAAACAGCATGTAGTTTAAGTTTCTAGCTCGAAAACGATGATTAACGATTACTAATACTAATATTCGGGTCATACGCGATTAGTCGATTACTAAACACTTGAAGAAGTTAAAACGAAAAAACGCAAAAGCTCTTTAGCGATGATACTTGCGAAATCCACCGCAATGGCCACCGCTTCATTCTTCGCAACCGTCAACACAGATGTGACACCTCTGCTTAGTTCTTCCTCTGTTATCATCGGAAAACCATCTTTATCGAAGACCATCTCCGTCAGATCCTCCCTGTCATTTTCCCGCAAAACTCGAATAACTCCAATCCGAGCCGCCGATCAATCGCCCGCTGTCGCCGTCTCTTCTCCCGCCGTGGAGGGAATCGCCAATCGATCCCAAACCTCATTGAAATCCCGGCTCCGTGGAGGGGAAACTCTCTACGGCTTGTTTCTACTCTCCTTCTCGCCGACTTTAGCCGAGATCGCTGCTCACTCCGGATACGATTACGTCGTCGTTGACATGGAACACGGTCACGGCGGAATACCGGAGGCACTTGACTGCATCCGAGCTCTTAACGCCGCCGGCACAGCCGCCATTCTCAGGTTGCCGGAAAACTGCCAAACCTGGGCCAAGAAAGCCCTAGATCTAGGCCCACAGGGAATCATGTTCCCAATGATCGAATCTCGCAAGGACGCGAGCAAAGCGGTGTCGTATTGCCGGTTTCCTCCCGACGGCATCCGTGGATCGGCGCACACGGTCGTGCGAGCTTCAAAGTACGGAATCGACGAAGGGTATTTAGGTAGTTACCAGGACGAGCTCCTGATCATGTGCCAGGTGGAGTCAGCTGAAGGAGTGAAGAAAGCAGATGAAATCTCAGCCGTCGATGGTGTTGACTGCGTGCAAATGGGGCCGTTGGATCTCAGCGCGAGCATGGGATACTTGTGGGACCCAGGACACAAGAAAGTGAGAGAGATGATGAGGAAAGCGGAGAAATCGGTGCTGTCGTCAGATCCGACGAAAGGTGGGGCCTACTTGTGTGGTTTCGCCATGCCACACGACGGACCAGCCGCGATCCGGGAACGTGGTTACAACATGGTCGCCGGAGCCGTCGATATAGGGCTGTTCAGGAACGCAGCTGCAGAAGACGTGAGGAGATTCAAGATGGGACTGGTCAACGACTCGGACGGTGAGGATTCGTTGGATAGCGGAAAGGATGTTGACGATGAAAAGTACTGGAGCGAATAAAGCAACTTCCTTATAATTTTCACAGAATAAAATGTTGTTTCCTTATAACTTTAAGGCTTTCACACATTTGTTTTAAGGTTTCTTCATTTCACTTTTCATCAAAAATTTACAATCAAGCCTACAAATGTTTGATGAAAGCAACATGATTTAATTTAACGGTCTACATCCAACAAAGCTGAGACCTATTGGCTATGGTTTTAAATAAAAAGATTCAACTACGCAGTGATGGAGTCAATAGCCATTGGTTCGTTGTCTGTCTCCATTGCAGAGGCTCTTGGTGGTGATGGTGGTTGAACATCTATTTCTGGGTACGACGCCTTAAACCGAGCTCGAAGACCTTCGTTGATCAACCGGACACCATTAAGCTGGTTCCCAAGTGACAGCCATCTATTGACCCAACAGATTCATCACCCAAAAAATCAGCAAACAAGCCATAACTTGTTATCATACGACAGAAAATAAAAAAGTTGGAAAACTTTACCCGGCTTGAGCATTGTGCATACGGGCAAATAACTCAAGTTTTCTTGCTCTTGGCATGATCCTCTCCAACATTGCATACATCTGGTAACGTGTAACAAAATTGTTGAATCATTTTCATCACAACAAGTCTAAAAAAAATTATAAAGATAGACAACAAACCTCGTCTGGCTTCCGACTTGTCTCTCTAACCTCTGCAACAATCACGTCCGTATCAATGTTCCTGTTCACTTCTGGGTTTCCTTTGATTCCAACCAGACAATGCTCTTTGCTGTGGTTGAGCCAGTGACCTGTCCTTCCTGTTCGAATAATACGTTGAAGTTGATTCGTCTTTACCCATATGATCTCTTCCACTCGCTTGTATCCCCAAAGCTCCAAACTTTACCAAAAAAAAACAAACTTCATCTAAATGGGATAACATATGAGATGAAATGAAAATTTTGATTTGAGGATTTTCGAAGTACCATTCGCGGCCTAGCTCCATTGCACGACCAGTGACCCAGAGGAAAATCAAACCGTCAGTCTGCAACGAAGGAACATTGAGTGTACGCATCTCGTCATCACCCATTGTTCCATATGGAAGCTCCATGTGAATGTCCCATGGTGGATCCGCCATAACAACTCCAAAAGTTCCCAAAATGTTCATTCGGAAGCTACGGATGTCGCAGTTAATCCATTGTGCCTCGCCAAGCTCAGCTTCGGAACAGTAATCAGCACGCAGAGGCTTCAACGCCTTTTCTGGACCAGCCATCATAGCATCAGCCATGTCGAGCTCGTAATGCACATATTTGCAAGTCTGTCCAAAATCCAAAACAACTATTTCTCTCAGTTACCATTTATTTACACAAAGTGAACCTCTTTTGACTCTGATAATACTGTTGAAGAGTTACCTTCATGTGACGACAAGTATCGAGAAAGGAACAATCTCCTAGGCTGACGTCGGTATGTGAAGCGACTAAACGACGGAAATGTCTCTGAAAGCATATATAAGTCATAAGAACTGAGTATATTTCGGCAAGCATCAAAGACACCAAAGTAGTAAACAATCTTTGACTTGCAAACCAATACCAATTTGTTCGCTATGAAACTCTAATGATATAGCATTCCGGTTTTCTGATAAAATAAGAAGAAAAGTGCGAAGTTGTGTTGGTTCGAACCTTGTTGCAGGCTATGTGGGAACCACACTGAAGACGGCAATCCTCTTTAGTTAAGTACCTACAGTAATACTTAACCTGTGACCCACCTTTGCTTTTAAACTGTAATTAACATAAACAATAAACCAGTCATTCACAAGAACCACACTACTTTCAAAATGATAGAATGAAAAAATAGCAAAAGAAAACAACTAGAACAGTTGAGATTAGAAACAGTGGCAGGGGTGTAGATCACAAGATACCAAGAGAGAACAGCCCAACAAACACACAAGTTTAGTGCAGAGTCTTTCGTTACTTCGAGATTAAAACTATAGACTAGAAACCACATATCAACTTTCAACCCCACACTGAGAGACAGAACACACAAGTATTGTATGGAAAGCTAAAAAGAGTATATGTTACGAAGATGAACAGGTCAAAAACATTAAGCATCTAGATCTCATAACGTCATTATTTTCTAATAGAGAGCTCATTGCTTTCAAATACATCTGAGCCACATTGAACAAAAGCCATAACTATCATCATCTAAACCGAAGTAAAAAGCAACTCAGTTATATAGCTCTTTGCTTTTCACCTTCCAGTAATTCTAAAACAATGCTGAGAACTCCGATTCTTGAGAGCTAACCATACATCAAAGTCCTTTAATCGGCTAAAGTGATGAAACCAGCTAAACCTTAAACTATTACTTAAACACATTCAATTACAAAAACACAAAATGGAGTAGTTTGTATTTTCTCCCCTATAGTCTTGATAACAAAATTGAAAATACTAAGTATCAGTATCACCAAACGGCTCATAACTAGTTCAAAACTTTCTCAAGAATCATACATTATCTAATCCAACTTAATACAGCTTTGGATCAACACAATCCTAAGTTCATTACTATGTTCTTCCTCAATCCCTTTGCAAAGCTTCTAAACTCACATTCACATTTTACAACAAAAAAAAAAAGCATAACCTAAAGAGCGTTCATTTGGATTACCTTAGCTGCTGTAGCTGCTTCTTTGGCAGTTGGACGATGAATGAGGTCAAGCAACTCCTCACCTGTCTTCGACTGTTGCTTCTCCTTAAAAGACTTCTTGCTAAGAAGAGCCTCAACGTCTTTCAAATCATCCTCCTCACTTCTAAGCTTCTGACTCGCCGGCACCGGCAAAGGCAATGGCAGCGGAAACGGCGGTGGTCGACCCATCATCCCCATTGGATGATGCATCCCCATCATTCCCATCCCTCTAGGTGCACTCATCATCGGCCTAAACCCCATATTCGGGTCACCTGGCCACATCTCCGGTGGTCTCTGGAAATTACTCGACCCGGGACCCCCAAACCCGCCGGAAGGTGTAGATATCTCAATCGGCTTAGGGGTTTCTACGACCCGACTCGGTTTGCTATTCCCCTGGAAACTCTCCGGTAACTCTTTGAGCAATCTGGTTCGATCAATAGCCAAGATCATGATTCGAGGATTCCCACCAACTTCGAACGCCTCCAGTTCCAGCGAACCGTTATCTTCCGATATCGATCTAAGAGCATTCTCTACGGCGAGGATCGGCCCACGCTCTCCGCCTAGGTCACGTAAAGCCGCCTTCTCAGCCAGCCTCGCGTTCTTGTCATTCTCAAGCTTTCTTAGCACACTCGACGAATCCGTCGAATCCCACGGTACTTTCTGTAGCAAACACTCCGCCACCATCGCTCTCACGAGCGCCCTGGGGCTCCCGCTCGATCCATCCGCTTCAGCTCCCGAACCAGAATCTCTCTGTTTCGTGGAGATAAGCATCGATTTCGAGCCATGACCTCGTTGTTGTTGGGTTTGTAGTTTAGCAATGGGATGGTGCTTCTTCTCCAAATTGGGTTCAGGTAAAGGAGGTGTGGCGACGAAAGGCCGATTCGTGAAAGAAGAGATTACACGGAGAGAGAGATCGAGCGACGGGATTATATCGGGAACGGTGGTAGATTGGAGAGACGAAAGGAGATCCAAGTGAGCGTCGTGTTCGTTACGAATTCGATTCTCCAATCGAGCTCTCATGTCTTTGACGGCGGTGATGGTGGCTTCATTGTTGACCCTCTCCGATTCAGTTTCCATAGCTCCGATTAATTTGCAAAGCTTCAAAACCAGAAATCAATGGAACTAAACTTTGTGCTCTCTCTAGCTTAAAGAGTTAAAAAAGGGTTTAGCCAAAACGATGTCGTATTCTTATTCCATACGGTGATAGGGATATCTGTTTTAGGTCAAACTTTAGCAATGGCATGAGATGTAAAACGCAATCAATTACTGCATTTTCTACTAAAATGTTTGGTCTTTTTCATTAATCAATTTCTAAGTTGTCATTTGTCAATACATATATTTTTTTTCACTGAAAATATATGTTGTGATTCCACACAAAAATTCGAGGGAAGAAGTGAACAATAAAAAGAAAAGCAAAAACTTGCAAACATTGGTTTTACCAGAGTCTAAACTGTAAATGATAAAAACCAACAATAAAAGAGGATGAAATCAATACAATAGAACCAATAATCAAATCAAATTGTTGAATATACATCCCTAGTAATGAACCATCTTTACAATTTATACAGTGGCCCTGTTCTTTTGGGAATCGTTGCGATTGAGGCTGCAACTGAACTTCCTTTACAATTTAACTCTTCATCGATGTTGGGTTGAAAAGGATGAATCGCAGCGACCGAAAAAATCAAAGGAATCCGGTGACCTCCGAGTCGCAAGAGCAAACCAGCGGCACCTCTGTTCTTCACTCTCTCCTGCAATCAAAAACGCTGCGACTCTTTTCCTCTCTTTTCTGTGCATTTCCTTTTAATTTTACTCATGACTTTCTGTCGCAGCCGCAGTTGCGGCGATTTTCAAACGAACATGGCCAGTGTATATGAGCATGAAGAGGGGAAAATGATCTTGCCAAATAGTGGCACCAAATCCACCGGCTAAACTTTAGTATTGCAAACGCATTCGCCATTTCCCGATCGAATATTTCTTCCGCTCCAAGTTGGTGGCACAATTGCCCTCAAACTGCCTGTAACTTATACATGCGAGTGATTTCATTTGTCTGTGCTCGTCTACAAGGTAAATGAAAAATGTCACAAGCAATGAGACCATGGATTGATGCCACGTAATCATTTTTCAAACTCTGAGATTTATCGACGGTGATTACAACATGCTGGAAAATAGGATTAAACCGTATGGAATCAAAACTCTGTGCTCCGAGCCTCCGAGTGGTTTTTAACCGTAGGGAGAAATGAGTATTTAAATTTGATTTTGTGGGGATGTGGCTATTTAACTTTCAATTGGTGGGAATCTGAGACGAGGACATAGTTTGGAAGATATTTGATACGACATAGTTTTAGTTTTGGTGGGGAAATAGGCCGTCAACCCGCCAAATATTTGATACATCTTTTGACAGATATATTTGATTCGTATAATCATAAATTTTTTGGCAAAAACAAAATACAAATTTAATTACATTTCTTTACTGTTTTTTTGTTGAGTGTTCCATTTTCATACAAATTGCGTTTATTATAAGAATTGATATCTCTCACTGATCAACTTTTTATTTTGTTTAATATTTTTTGTTGAACTGAATCTAAAACTCGATTCACATAAACATGGTATAACTAATATGTTATAAAGGATTTAATCCACCAAGAAAAAAGAAAAAAAAAAGCCTAAAGACGTGGATTGTATGGCATACATCTTATACCTCAATAACAAATATCATAGTTTATAAATCAATGAATTATTGATAAATATTTATCTCCAAATACAAAAAATAACAAAATATTCTTTTACTAGTTTGTTGAATTTGAAATTTTAATCATCTTAGAATATTCCTTATATGTGAATTACTCTTGTTGGTTTCCATACAATTTAAATTTTGTTTTACTAGATGTTCAATTTTGTTTGAATGATTAATTGTAATAGTAAAGAGATAAATCATATTATTTTATTTTTTAATTTCTGAAAATTGGCGTACCACTATAAATCCCATGCCTCCTGATCACTGACAGATTCCGTTATCTCTACCTTCTTATCCAACTGTGAAAATGCAACTTTTCTTCACTCTTTTGAATCAATTTTCCGAGAATTTATTTTAGCTCACCTTCTTCCAATATATGTGCATAATTGTGGCTTTTGTTATCAAGTCTTCATAGAGTTCTTCATCGAGTCTTCTCGTTTATTCCAGGTATGATTTGTAATTGGTCTCATTTCTCTTCACTTTTCTTCATGATTTTTCCGAGGTATAATGAATATTACCCGAGAATTCCACAAAACTACTAGAAGATATTTTCCTCCAAAATAATAATGAATAGAACCGAATATCTAAAAACCTACAAAAGAACTGAAAAAAATTGTCTTTACTCCATCTTCTACTAAATGTTTTTGGATTTTTCGAATATTTTGATTACTTTGTTATAAATATAACTATTATATTAGATTTCTAATTGTAAATTTAGTTAATTTCCACACTTATAAACTACAAAAACTAAATTAAGGTAAAAGTTCCCTAGTATATAATTTTGAGATGATTAAATAATTTTGAGATAGTTAAATAGACTTTTTTTTTAAACAAAAATACAAATTCAGAAACTAATAATCACGCGGGTCCAATCCTATTTAGTTTTACAACGCAAGAGTTTTTTTAAAAATATTGACGGAGTGGTGCTCTATGTTGGTAGAGGGAGCGGTTTTCTCTTCACAGATCGGCTCTACCACTACCGTAACTGAAAGTCTTTCTTTTCCGTTCATGTTTTCAGAGAGCAGTTGACTGCCAAATACTTGCTCTCTGTCATTCACCTGCACAATGCGTTTCAAAGTTAAGCAAGCTCAAACCGCCATGACAGTTTGATACCAAGGGAGTGAAGAGTGATAACGTACATTCAAATAACATAAGAAATGAACACAAGTACCTTTGAAAACTTCTTGTCACGGTCATAATCAAGGCCAGGCGGTGCATTTTTGAATAGTCATCAATAGTACCTGTTACAGAGACAAGAGGAATAAGACACTGTCCTCTTCTCAATACACAAAAGAAAAGTTTTGAATACCTTCTTCATTGGAGGATATTTTGAGAAAGGCGCATGACCATGAGCCAACTCCAGCGCAGTGATCCTAAAAGACCACAATAACCAACAATTGTGTTTCTTGCACGTTGCCTATCGCCATTGTCAAACAAGCACGCAGAGACACCAAAATCACCGAGCTTTATCTCCCCCAGTGTTATCAAGAAGTATGTTCCCAGCCTAATACGAAAGAAAATAAAAGCAAGGTTTTGAATACACGACATAGATTGTTAAACATCCAACAAAGCTGGACCAGCCATCATAGCATCAGCCATGTCGAGCTCGTACTGCACATATTCGCAACTATGTCCAAATTCCCAAACAACCACTCCTCTCAGTTACCATTTATTTACACAAAGTGAACCTCTAAGGACTATCTCTGATCATATTGTTAAAGAGTTAACTTCATGTGACGACAAGTGTCGAGAAAGGAACAATCTACGAGAATGTCTCTGAGAGCATTTATAAGTCATAAGAACTAAGTAAATTTTGGCAAGCATCACAGACACACCATAGTAGCAAACAAACTTTGACTCGCAAACCAATGCATATTTGTTCTCTATGGAACTCTAACTATACAGCATTCCGATTTTCTATAAAGTAAGTTTGTGTATACAGAGATGTAAAACGCAATAAATTACTGCATTTTCTACTAATATGTTTGGTCTTTTTCATTAATCAATTTCTAAGTTGTCAATACATATTTTCTTTTCACTGAAAATATATGTTGTGATTCCACACAAATATTCGAGGGAAGAAGTAAACAATAAAAAGAAAGAAAAGCAAAAACTTACAAGTTACAAACATTGGTTTTACCACAGTTTCAATGATAAAAACCAACAATAAAAGGGGATGAAATCAATAACAATAGAACCAATAATCAAATCAAATTGTTGAATACACATCCTTAGTAATGACCATCTCTACAGTTTATACAGTGTATATGAGCATGAAGAGTGGAAAATGATCTTGCCAAATAGTGGCATCAAATCCACCGGCTAAACTTTAGCATTGCAAACGCCTTCGCCATTTCAAGCCACAAACGCATTTTACGTATAAAGCGGGCAACCATCAACCATAATACCAGGTGCGGTTGGACAAGAGGCCAAAGGACAACCATCAAGCTCATTTCCCCACCAATCCAAACTTATATTCTCAACTCCCAAACACATATAAAGCAAAACACCCATAAATGCTAATCCAGCATCCAATGCTCCTGACAAAACATAATTGTACCTTTGCCACAGATGCGGTCTGTACCTAAACACAACGAACCCGGACAAGAATCCAGCAAGAACCCATGTCGTGTAGTTCACCGCTGTTGCCGGTGGCATCGAGCTTATCGCGCTAAAAAGAACCGGCATGTTTATAAGCTTGATCCAACCTTGCCTAGGGAACATCCTTGAGGCTAACCATACAAGAACCGAGGCCATAGCGCCCACGAGGAAGAACCAGTTAACAGATTTGTATAAACCAAGATCTCCAAAGATTCTACGTGGTCCAATAAGTCCCCATATCACAGATGCATCGTAGAAGACTTTATCCCCTGGACATGTCCAAACCGAGTTAGAAACTGAATCACATATGTTTGGGATTGTCTCCATTAACCACCAAGCCGTCACGAGGTAGACTGAACATGAGATAAGTGTTCCAACGATCTGAAACCATCGATCATTTATGTGTTAATTATATTAACTTGTAAGATTAAGAGAGTGGTACAAAGTATAGTTGAATATAGAGACTAGTGTAACCTGCGCCATAAACATGGTTCTAGGTGGAATCTTCATGTAATGGCCAAGTTTAAAATCTTGAAGAAAAGTGATTGCTTGTTGCATGCTTATGTATCCATATACTTTAAAGCACATATTTGCAACTGGGTATCCTGGATAGATATATCCTATGATATATTCTGTAATAATGTTCAGTCCTGGCGCCTACAAAAAAATATGTAACATCAAATATATGTTTAGTAATTTATCATATAGTGGGTTCGTTTTAGTTATCGATTTTTACCTGATTGGTTATGGCAGTGAGGATGCCGATAGGAAGTGTGAAAATAATGGCGACGGTACATGCTAAGAGAACACCCCACCATGGCAATTGAAGTTGGTCTTTGTAATACTCACAAGCAAAGATTGTGACTCCAATATTGGTAGCGAGTATGGACCAAAACCACCACTCTGGAACTTGCTTGTACCTTTGCATTAGTCTCGTGTGTATGTCCAATTTCTTCTCTTTGAAACTATCTTTACTTTGCTCCCATATCTCTCTGCAAAAGAATCCATTAACAAAGGAAAAGCTAAAAAGAAACCATTTCTGCCCCAAATCCAAGCATATACATATAGTCATATATTAATTTCATAAGAATTTGTTTTGAGACATTGACATGTATGAGCTTAATTATGTATACCTTCCATGGAAGAGAGCGACGTGCATGATGGTAGCGCTTAGAGCGGCAAAACCAACACCGTAAGTAATGGCGAAGAAAGTGCTAAGATACAAAGGGCCTTCACGCTCGTAAGCTTGAAGGTCAAGGTGGAAATTAGAATCTATAATGGTTGTGATATTGTACTTTGCACCTTGGTTTGTAAAAAGAGAGCTCGAAAATATAGGGAAGGTCTTGGCGTTGTACACATCAAGCCAATAGCATATTGGTACCAAAACGTATATCGTCAACACAAATCCCACACCCACATTAGCCGTAGCAAACCTGTTACAAAAATCCATGCATAAAGCATACTTCTTGTAATACCAAACTAAATTGAACCTAAACCAAAACCGGATTCTACGAATGTTCTTCGGTTTATGGCTTTAAGAAATGGTAAACCGGAGTGAGGTGGGACTGACCATGGACTAGCGAGTGGACTACCCAAGAAAGAAGAGATGGTTGACCAGTCAAGTCCTATGGCTCCAACACCTAACCCGTGAAGACCCGATCCGATCTGTTGGGCCATGACTGATGATGGAAAGAACCAGCAAACCCACGACAGTGACGTCAAGATCTGAAACAAGTATCCCGGAAACACGTAATACGCGAAACTGCAAACGAATGCTATCAAGAAAAACTGTGTACGTGTCAGCCCTCCTTTCGTCCGTTCTTCTTTCTCATGCAAGGCTCTGTCATTTTAGTCAAACCACAGGAAAAAAAAAACAAGTTATACACGGTTGTTATTGAGACAACTGACTCAAAAAGAAATCCCGGTTTGAATCTACAAATAATTGGTAGACGAAAATATCATATAGTTGTATAATTTAAACCACACATAAAAGAATGTTTTTTATTATACCAACTACATCAATGTATTTGTGTCAATTATAGTTCTTTGTCTTTAAGACCAACTACAAAAATGTCTTTATAGAAACAAACGTGATGAATTTGTACATTTCGAAGACATCTGATAAATTTACAACAGAGATCGTTAAATTGGGTCCCATGATATGCTAACTAATGTGTTCAGGTTTAATTAATCTAATAATGAAAATACTAATTTTTGTTTTTGTATTGAACGTAAATTAACGATCTCTGGTTTAATTAATCTAAATGAAAATACTAATTTTTTGTTTTTGTATTGAACGTAAATTAAAATGTTGTTGTATGTTAGTGTTTTTTTCTAAATGGAATGTATTCTCTAGTGTTTGCTGTTATAATTTTATTTTTAAAACATCTGTTATTAGCCATAAAAACATCTTAGCATTAGAACGTATATATAACACGCCACAATCATGATCTAACTGAAATGACATCTCCAATTTTTCTATGACAAATTGGCCACAATTATGTTTGTTTGTATATAGTAAGTAACTGTCGAAAACGTAAGAACGAAACGTGAAAAACACACTATAGCGATTTTCAACTACATTTACCTAAAAAGTGAAACCTGAACAAGATTCGCCGGCCACCACATCGCCGCCGGTTCAACGAGGTATTTCCTGAATATTCCGGCCCAACCAAACCCTAACACCTAAAAATAAACCGCACTTAACCTGATTAGAAACCATAAACTCAATCCAATTAAAAATAATAATAATAAAAAAAAAAAAACTCAATCCAATTCCAAACCCAAAATTTTAAAATATGAAACCAAAAGCTTAAAATTAAAATACGAACTTGGGTTGTAACGATGACAATGAAAGAGACAAAGAACGTTATGTTCTTCATGTAAAACGCCTTCACGACGGTGACAACATGTATTGCGTAAACAGATCCAGCTCCGGCGTTAGCGAAAATAGTGATCAACACATGCTCTTTCACATTAAACGGACCTGACGATTAATCAAGAGACTTGGTTTGCTTCATGATATAATATATTATTTAAAGTCAAATATTACATCCATGTGAGATTTTCTAATCTTCGGACTTTTGGGGTTACCTGGATTCAACGTGAATTGCCATTTTGACCCTTGGAAGAAGATTCTGTCGGAGATTCTAGCCGCCATGAGACGACCGAGAGGTACGACGGCGATTTGGGCGGAGATTGCGGAGATGGTGAGAGGTTCTGTTCTGTACCAGAAGAACTGATTGAGAAACGACAAGAGGATGCAGGAGAGACTTCCTAGGACCCACATCCGGAATGTTAAGACAGGTAATGAGGGATCGTCTGTTGTCGGAACGGTGAGTGCTACTTGTCGGATGGGAGAGTTCTCTTCTTGTTGTTGTTCTTCTTCTTCCTCGTTGTTGTTGGAGATTGGTAAACAGAGATCCTCTGTTTCGTCTCTGGTTTCGCATGATGAAGATGATGAGGCCGATGATGGTTTTGGTTTTGTTACTGTCACGAAATGTTTGTGTTAGTACTTTTGTTATAGGTTTAACAAATTGAAATTATAAGGAAAATATTGGAATTGAGAATTGTGATCTTACATAGAGGAAGAGCTTGTTCTGATTCTTCCATGGCTCTTTTCTTCTTCTTCTTCTTGATTTTTTTTTTTTTTTTTCTTGGTGAGATTTGAATCTGAGAAGCTCTTCTTCACGTCTTGAAGTGTTGGCCCCTTCAATCAATTTTTGGGAATATATATTAATTAGGAATCTGTTCTTCGTCAACGGATTTATTTATTTATTTAATAATGGTAAGTTGGAAACGTGGTATAAACTAATTTATTCCCCAACTACTGTATAATAATACAATTATAGTTTGAAGAGATTCCGTTTAATATAGTAGTACATGCATTTTTTTTCTTCTTCTTTGAAAGTTTGAAACAACTTTTTTCAGGTGGTTAATTCGGAAAATATTTGAATTTGTAAAAGACACCTGTTTCTTTTTTTTTTTCAACTAATCTTTTTCATTTGAAACAAAACATATACTGTCTGTATATATACCACTATTATACACTTTATACTTCTAAGTTCTAAATTACAGCACTGTAATTTCTTCATAATTTCAACTTGAAATTCCAAACAATTCATCAACCAACTTCTCCTTACCCAATTCATGTTAACCATAATTTCTGCTTATCATTTTAAAGTTAGTTACATGTAAATCACGGAGATTCTAAATGACATATTTTTTGTTTTGTTAAAGATTCTAAATTACATATAACTATTACGGAGAAAGAGAGAATCCGAAAAAGAGAATCTTTTATCCTTCGAGAATTTAGTATGGCCACTGGCCCACTGCCATATTGCTACGTAGACAAATCGAACACCTTTCATGTCCTTTTCTTACCGCTCTACGTTTATTCTCTGAATTCTGAAAGCAATTTTTTATTTTTCAATTTTTTTGTAGATATAGCAATGTAACATAACATCAGTTGATTACCAACTAAAACGATTGATTTGTTCTTTTCTTACTTATCATTTAGCTTCTTCTTGTCTAGCTATCTCCAACTACATCAAGTAACTTGCACAAAAGAATGACCAAACAAGACAGACCACAATGTAAACAAGTTAAACTTCTATATTCTTATTGTTTTCTTGATCTGAACTCATCCAAGGAATAGGTATCAAACTAGGAATATACACAGAATGGCAAAACGGATCAACCACATAATATAATTTAATCTTCTTGAACAGATCTCCTCTCACCACATAGATGCAAGGCTGTCTAGTTTCGTCTCTACAACACGCGACGAAGCTCTTTCCATAGATACTATCATCGACCAAGTAACTTGAACAAGAGCCAATATCACGACGATTATATAACATGGGGAAGTTAGGTCTCGAGACATTCATAAACTTAATCCACACCACAGCCTCTCCATCATCTTCAATATTAATTTTATTCTTTGTCACCCAAATCTCAATCTTCCTTGTGCTATCGCATTGTTCTAACAAAGAAAACCGATCTCCATTGAAACCCGCGAGTGCATGACTATGGGAAGAATCTTTCTTCTTGCACGGTAGAATACAAAAAGACTTGAATATCTCCTTCGAACAATCGAGGCTTCGGATGAAACACTCACCGGTGTCAAGATTATAATCAGTCCAATACAAATTTCCGTTCAATGATACATTATAAAGTATCGGTTGCTTTGTTATAAAATCTACTTTGTAACGGGGTCCAATATACTTCCATGTATTAGTTGCAAATCCGTAAATGACAACTCTTCCATATACTCCAGAATGATCGTTTCGCCAAAAATGACTATAGCCAACGATCTTGTAACTCTTTTCGGATCTACTACTATCGTATCCTATTCCACATAACCCGGATATTTTAACTTTGGACTCAATCCATTTACTCTGTCTCAACCAAGGGTTCCAAACAACGGCTCCATTTCTCCAAGTAGAAAGCAACAAGCCATCACAATGATAGAAGTTGGGATCTATATATGATTCTAAACCAGGAATCTCTAAGTTTATCTTGCACACCTTTGTCTTTGGGTCGTCATCGAAATTGATGCTTATCGAATAAATCTTGGATTTGGTTGCGAAAATGAATTGAGGACATGCACGAGCCAAAGCCAAGTGGTTGTTGATGAATCTATTGTCGTTGAGAAGCATGGCCCATGGTTTGCAAACGGTTCTAAAACGAGCGAGAGACAACGGTGGAACCCTAATGAGTATCTCTTCCTCCAACTCTGACGGAAGCTTCGCTGGTGCCATAGATCTTCAATTGTGTGATTCCCTTGTAACTAAATAAAAAATATAATAGAAGAAGTTAATTGCAAGAAAAAAAATAGGAGAGAAATCAACTTAAACAAGAAAAAGGGTAAAACAATGTTATAGTGGATACATTAATTTAAACCACATACTCTATCAATGTAACACGTATTATAGTCATATATAGTTGTATACTTGAATATAGATATCAAACGTGGATTATATATTCTCTACCATATCATGTGTTTTGTCTGTTATATGATATATTTGTCATTTTGTATATGAATTTTACATTGACATTTAATTTATACTAAACTAATAATAAGAGATTAGATCTTAATTTGATTTAACAATAAAGCTAACTTACCCTTATAATAAAAGGATTATATCCTCTACCATTTGACATGTGTTGTAGTCTTGTAGATCTATTTTATGATATATGTGTCTACATTTACATTTAAATTATTACTAAACTAAAATAAGTCATCAGATAACATATATTGAACCTTATTTTGTTGGTCAAACAAAATAAATGCTCAGAAAAAGTTAACAAAAATGGCAAAATTAGAAGAAAATATCAAAAACCATGTTGGTCCAAAGTTTTGCGATATAGATCTGATATCCAATTTTTTTTTTTTAAGTACATTTTTGTGTGTATTATCCAAAATCATAAATATTAATGATATAAGGAAAATATCACATAAAAATCTAAGAAAACAAAACAATTATATAAACTGTTTGTAAACAGAAGCAAATTAGTAAAAATAATATCCTATAGTTGAAATATGGTTCTTAATTTCTTATTATATTTTTGTTTGTAAAATTACTTGTTTAACTTTTTATTCAACTTTCTAAACCATTTTTATTAAAGAAAACTCTCAAAGAACCTTACAAATATTACTAGTACCCGATTCATTATCATGATATTACCAAAAACCAGTTCATATATTTTCTTGATGGCAACGTTGATATAAGACACTCTTAAAATCTTGGTGATTGAATGAGTTTTTTCAATCGTGAAGGCGTATGCGAATGTTTGGCCTTGTGGATTAGACTTTTGTTTTAGGTTTTTGAGAAATAATGATGTAAAATGAAGTCTATTTACAATTATCTTGACGAATTAATTGGATGATGTAAAATTTAAAGACTGTAATAATATGGTAGGGGTTGCGCGAACGCAAACCCCCTCTGGCCACAAATAATGACGCAGGCTAGTCCACATGGGAAGACCTTAAGCTAAGCACCCTTCCTTTATGTGCAATGGAAGTCACTAGCCTAGGCCACTCGTCTTCTTGATCGCGAATTGACCCCGTCCAGGTAAGTGATTTTAACGATCCATCGACTCTCCTATTTATACCAAGTTTCCAAAGCCTCCTTTGTTTCTTTTATCCGATGTGGGACTTTTGTTAAGTTTCACACTTTCCGGCTTTTCCGCTCTTATATTATTTGAAAACACACAGCTCCCATTCTGTTGAACCAAAGACCTTTGTTTTACATTCTTGAGATTTTGATTATGGTCAAGCAACTTGTTGGAAATGTAATTAACAAAATTTAGTGTTTCTCTCTTCTGTTAGTAGTAACTTGTATCTTGTGTTGTTTCACAGATCTCGTTACCATCGTTGTATGAATGAAGTTAACTTTTTGACATGAGTCTCGTTTCTTGGCTGGTCAATATTTATCTTGTAATCTATCGCACTATGTTCCAAGATGAGGGATTTATAATGGGTTTTGTGCAAAACAACCCTCAAACTAAATTCTTTTTGCAAATCAAATATTCAATTTAAAGTTGTGCAAACCAAACATCTGAAGTCAAAATAACCCAGCAATATAAGACATCTCTATATTTGTGACAAAATTTAAAATGATTTTATGCAAAAAAACTCGCAAACTATTTTTTTTTGTGCAAATCTAATCCTCAACTTAAAAAATATGCAAGTCAAATCTGCAAAAAATATGCAAGTACATTAAAAAAAAACTTTAATCTTTAATTTCCTTTCTCTTTCTCCTCTTATTAATGAATTTATCTCGAGTAATCTTATCTTTTTTGTTATAATATTTTTGTTTTTTTTTAATAAGAAGAGATAAATTCATTAATAAGAGGAGAAAGAGAAAGGAAATTAAAGATTAAAGTTTTTTTGTTTTAATTTACTTTTAATAAAAATGGTTAAAATATTATAAATGCCATAAGTCTCTCTCGAATAATTCTATTGCGAGTAAATTAGTTCTTATCTTTGTCTCTTCGTCGTCATTAGTGAATGAGATCATTAAGAAAAAATCAACTTATTCGCGATAAGATTACTCGAGATAAATTCATAATAAGAGGAGAAAGAGAAAGGAAATTAAAGATTAAAGTTTTTTTTTAATTTACTTTTAATAAAAATGGTTAAAATATTATAAATGCCATGACATTTGAGTCAATGTTTGTAGTTAAGGACAAATACATATAAGTTCATTTTAGCAGTGACTTTCGATTTTGCAGGTTTGACTTGCATATTTTTTAAGTTGAGGGTTAGATTTGCACACAAAAAATAGTTTGCGGGTTTGTTTGCATAAAATCATTTTAAATTTTGTCACAAATATATATATGTCTTATATTGCGGGGTTATTTTGACTTCAGATGTTTAATTTGCACAACTTTAAATTGAATGTTTGATTTGCAAAAAGAATTTAGTTTGACGGTTGTTTTGTACAAAACCCATTTATAATCTAGCAATGTGTTACATGGAAACAAAAACAACGTGTATTTTAAAAAATATAAATTTAGAAACGTTTTAGAAGCATCTATATATAAATAAAAAATATTAAATACTCCCTCTGTACCAATATATAAGCAGTTTTAGCCAAAAGTAAAAAAATTAAGGAAAGCAATAAAGTATTATTTAATATATCAATTAATCATAATCTGACCAATCTTGAAAAAAACTACAGAATATAATTGGCCACACAATAATCTATAAAGTAAAAAGTGCATTGGAATTGGAAGTAGAAAATTGCTTATATTATGAGACAAACTTTTTTTCTAAAACTGTTTACATTGTGGGAGAGAAAGAGTATTAAATAGTTTAACAAAAGAGAAATATCATCATATTTAATGTCAAAATATTAAAATTATTATTATTATTATTATTATTATTATTATTATTATTATGCGCTTCATC